GGTAGCTATATCACCTTTCCTCTCTATGCCTTGGTAACTCAAGTAAGTTCCCCTCAGCTATAACTCCAAACCCTGTTGTCAATTTTCGATATCATATCCATAATCACCGCGCTTCAGTTCGAAATCATGCCTTTGATGGACATTTCTGAAACTAATTACTAAAACATATTTGAAAGCTTAAATGCTTGTACTTGTGCTCAATTCACAGATGGGATCTCATATGAAGAAGGCAATCTTTGAAGAGCAGACTGCGAAGGCACTAATGAAATGGCAGAAGGCCGCAAAAGAAAGAAGGAAGTTGAGAAAAGCAGAAGGAGATATGTCGCCAGATCTTATGAGTGGGAATACTACTCCATCCAGAGGTTCATCTCCCATACATCTGCTTCATAAATACAAAATGAACTCTGATATTGAAAGCAGTATCAACAATCCAACTCCTAGACCTTATCATTCAGATGCTGACTATTCAGAGACTGAAGGACCTGCATTGAACTCCAGCGATGATCAGAATTCAAGGAATCATAACTCACCAAAGAAAGAAATTGTAGGAAAAGAACCAGAAACTTACAACTGGGATTTTTCCTTTTCCAAGTCATAGGCAGATAAATGATCCAGCCAATCTTCTAAATTTGTCAAACACCTCTTCCTTAGCTTTGAATTATGCAGTGGGGATTATAGTATAAATGGTACTCCTGAAGTTTAAGACTTTAACCTAAGCCTAGAGAATCCCCAATGGTGGACAGGTTTTTTTCGGTTTCTTTTTCACTTCCCTCATCAATGTAAACTTCATTACATAAACTCATTTCCCTCATCAAATCTGAAATCTAATCATTTAAAGTGAACATTATGAAATTAAATCTCACATGAATCGTTTGTTGAGATTGTCCACGTATTGGCTATACCAGGACCATGATCACCAGTTGCTATACTCCCCCTATTCATATGGCATATTTTGGTATTGACAATTAGTAAATTGCTTAGTGCAATTGGTCTTTCACAAAAAACCGGATACTGAATGATCATCCCCTCATCTTTATTTCATTTTTGACAAGAATGAAAAAGCAACTACAAGATTTTGAGAACATTAATGTGTCAATTTTAGATTCTTGAACAGATCAAAATGGTAGACATGGTGGGTCGGAGAGCACCTTCAAAACTACTAAGATTTCATATGCAAGACTACAAAAGAAACTCCAAAACTTTGCGGAGTTTTACTTTGGATTTGACTAATGGGAGAAATTTGGGCAATTTCATAAGCAAATTTGAGCTCTCTATTATTTTAATGACCGAGTGGGGTTTAAGTGGGAAGATAATCAAGCATGCATACAAATTAGCAAAAAGTAGAGCAAATGACCAAAATAGTTCCTCAATTATTGTGCTAAAACCAAAATAGTCCCTGAACTTTATTCTTAGTCACTTTGGTCCTTCAACTATTTTTACGTGGCTAATTTGGTCCCTATTTGGCTGAATCACCTAATTTATTAACTTTCTGCACTGATGATGGGAAAGGGCAAAATAGGATATATAACCACAACCCTTGTTAAAATAATAATAAAAAAAAACAGATGCTTGTCAAGAACTCAGGAATGAAATTAAATCATATATCGAGCAAAAAAGTTGGCTTTCTTCAGTGAACCCTAATGACAAACAAATTACTATAAACTACAAACTAAATTTATTCAATGAAAATTTTATATAAATTTTATTTGTGTAGAAAATAAATTTATATAAAATTAAGTTATTTTAATTATTTTTAAATGGTAAATATATTAGGTGTGTCCTTAACACTAATTTATGTGTATACATATACACTATGGCATGACAATTTGCATCCCATGAGGCCTTTATTAAGCCACTGTTCTAATAGTAGTATTATTAAACATTTTGGTAGTACTAGTCCTACAAAATTGGCATCAATCATCAAAATGACGAATGGGTTTACCCTAAGAGTATAAGAAGAAATGTTCCATTACTATGAAATGTTCAAGCCTTGATTGTCAATCTACGCCTGGTGCTTTAGAGCCGAATCACTTTGGTTGGAGTGCTGACTTTTGTGTTTTGGACCTTGATAAAATCATACATTTTGAGACCCAAAAAAATGCACCTGTGTCAACTAAAACCCAACTAGATTTCTAGTTTGGCCCGTGCAACCGGCTACTAGAATGTGTTTCACATTTTGCTGACTTGGGTTCTTACCTTGTCAAAATAGAAACCCAACCTGGCTTGAATCGGGCCCAGTCTAAACAAGTTTCTTAAGGGGTGCTTAGGATATGCATTAAGGCCATTCGATAATTTAATTCAACACTTAAATTTAACGGATTCAACTTTTAACATATTCAAACAGTTTGATAATAAAAAATTGAACATCTGAATGAATTAAGTGGCACTGAATTGCCGAGACAAAACTTGCTCCTAAAATTAAGTAATAAGCTATTCACTTATCACTGAATGTGACATGCACTTAAATGTATAAGATTTAATACTTAATAATTTAATATCTTAATGGATTCAGATTTCACACTTCAGTTTTATCAAACGCACTCTAAGTTTTTGGGCTTGCATCAACAAATTGTGTTCATTATATGGAAAATAAAGGATGCAAATGTAATTATATTTATATTAGAGGGCATTCTAAGATCACCAGAAGGTTTTGAAATTATTCCATTATACTAATAAACTTGGGTGTCAAATGGTGGGCTACAGCATCTAACCATCCTGTAAAGTTCGTTTAAAGTTGATTTAACGAGATTGTAATCCTGTCATATGTTATCCTTTCAATAAACTCTTTCACACGTCCGCCGACGTTTTAGCTTATTTCTGATCGTTTCAACTCGCATAGAATTTTCCTTGCGTGGGGATTGCAACGAAGATGTTCCAGTATGAAAATGTATTCGAAGTCGTGATTAGCATAAAGATGATTTGGAAGATGCCTTCATCAGGTTCATGACTGACTGCATGTTCTTGAAGCCTTATCTTAAAATCACGTCTTTTTGCAGTCCACGTCCATTAATGATTCCTTTGGAAACCCTCGAGTCTTCCAATCATCTTTTACTGTAGCGGCACCCTGAATTGGAAAATCTGACTCGCAATTCCACCCAACTGAAATCGACAATATGGCAGATGTTGGTGGAGGATTGTTAAACAATACAACGGTTTCAGTACGAAAATGTCCAAACAACAGACTTTGGAGGCCTGTAGGCTGTAATAGGTTAAAAGTTAGGCAAATTCCATGAAATGAAAGAGAATTGAGTAGTTATATATTTCACAAGAAATGCACTCGTCGGGATTAATACGCTCGGGGGGTCTCACTACGATAGAAAACAAACAAACAAACAGATTCGTTCGCCGCCCATGCAGCAGTGCAAAAGGCATAATGAACAAAGAAGAGAAATATCTCAAAGTCATTATTGTTAATCGAAATTTTCACGCACGTTGGAAGTTGTCAAAAAAGAAACATTTTGGAATGGAGGAAATGGCATTTGATAGTTGATGCATCAAGGAAGGGAGGGAGAAAGAAATATCTGGACGGGATAGAGACGGGAGGTGTGAAAGATTGAAAGAAGAAGACGTGGTGGCGTGGGTGGAGGGTTCCACACTTCCACTTGTATCAGAGGCGCACATGTTTTGGTGGGGCCGATGGGTTAAAAGCTCAGAGAAGTAAGCGACGACACCAAGTTGTCCATTTAAGCAATTTTACCATTTTGGTCCAATGTCCTCCTATAATTTCTTCTTAAGTTAAAGAGACGCACCCATTTTTCACAAGTATATAGCCTATAATATATACTACATAGATCATTAGTCTTTTTTTTTCCCGACAATGATGACAATTGTATAATCTATTCTATTCTAATCTACAGGAGAGGAGAGTCTGAAGAGGCGTGTACTAAGAGTTAACAGGTATACAAATCTGACTAGATCAAAGAAATATTTTAACACCACTTTTGAATTTTTTTTATTATAGATGAGATTTGTTCCCCTACCTACAACCAACCAAAGAGCGACTTAATCATTAGTTGATCTTTGATGGCCTAAATCATTAGTCAATTTCTGTGATAATAAGGTTGTTGCATAATATTACAAAACAGCAAGGATTGTCAAATCAAAGGATGCCAGCACGGGATTAATTGGAAAAAAACAAACTGTATGCGCCCGCCGCTGTATTCGTATTCAAGTTTTGTTCTTATTTTCTTCTTCTAAGTTCTATCTATCTAGAATAGAAAAGAAAGAAAAAAAAAAAAAAAAAAGCGCTATAGATAGAAGCTAACTTTATAAGAATAAGATTGCTCTTTAAATTATTAAAATTTCTAAATCTATCAGTTGTGGATATTTTCATCCCTGATTTGTAAATACTTTCTTTCGCGAGTATTTAACATCCCAAATGGTACGGCTAATAATGAATGAGGGATATTTCCAACTATCAAACTTACAGCGTTTCTGATACTATTAGAATCCCAAAAAAAAAAGGTAAAGAATTTTTTTTCCTTGGGGTAGAAATAGGTGGAGATGTGATGAGCCATGTTACACTTCTTTTATTTTTTTATTTTTCAAAAACGATAACTATTGTATAATTTATCTATTTTAGATTACAGGAGAGAAGGAGGCTAAACAGACTTTGTGTTAGGAATTAGTAGATACACGTAACTTACTAGCCGAACCATGTTACACAATTGAGGATAATATACAACTCACGATGAGAATGAATTTCATGCCGATGAGTGATTGTTTTTAGGATTTTCTTTCTAAATTTTACTATAACACTATATTAATATTAATAATAATATAAAATTAATTTTTCTTACACTGACAGCATATACACTATCGACGTTGGATAAAATAACACTTATATAAAATTTAAATTTAAAATTTAATTTTTACACATATATCAAAGATCCAATAATGATAATACTCTGTCGATTTATATAAAATTTACTCTAATATATAACGAATAAAAAAGTAAAACGCAGCCAAGGTTCATCTTTCTTTTCTTTTTGGGTTTTGAGAGTTTATCCTTAAAATCCAGTTGGGTATGTGAGCGTCCGCCCGAGTCAACAGGGAGTCGCACCCAGTGCCGACCATTTTTCTGCTTTTTCTCTCAAACTCCGTCTTACAAATATCCCGTATTACCCACCGCCCACTCCCAGTCCACCATCAGCACCACTTTATACAACACAACATGAACATAGTCCGTGCATAAATAAATACTCCATCGGTCCATCCTTAAAAGCACCTGGCCTGACCAGTCCAACTATCCATCTTCAATTTTCCCTTCTATTTTTCCCCCTCACAACTTCTCCAAATATTTAGCCCAAAAGAAAAGAAGGAAAAAGAAAAAGGTCAAAAATTATTCAATGAGCGATGACTCGTTCACTCAGAATTCTGTTATCCACCGTCACAACTGCCAATTCGACAGCAACGACGTCGTCCCCTCCAGCTAAACACTCGTCACCAGCGGCCGAGCCACCTCAGTCCGTCGCCGTCGAGTCCGACTTCGTCGTAATCCTCGCAGCTTTACTCTGCGCTCTAATCTGCGTGGTAGGCCTCATCGCCGTAGCTCGCTGCGCCTGGCTCCGCCGTGGAACCTCCGGTAATGGCCGCGTTCCCGGGCAACGTTCCCCTAACAAAGGACTGAAGAAGAAGATAGTCCAGTCGCTGCCGAAATACACTTACGACTCCTCCAGTTCCACCACCGGCGCCGGAAATGGTATTGGCGCTGTCACGGGTGATTGTGCTATCTGCTTGGCGGAGTACGCCGACGGCGACGAGATCCGAGTGCTGCCACAGTGCGGCCATGGATTCCACGTTCAGTGCATTGACACGTGGCTAGGTTCGCATTCGTCGTGCCCGTCGTGCCGGCAGATCCTCGTCGTTGCTCGTTGCCAGAAGTGTGGCGAGTTCCCGGCGATGAACGTTTCCGGCGCAGCTCAGGTTCCGACGCCAGCGGAGACTCAAGTCAAGCAAACCAGATCAGACCGTAGAGCAGCAGCTGCAGCAGTTCCGAGCTCGAGCTATTTTTTACCCTAAAAGGGTAAATATAGGTAAAATAAAAATGAAAGAAGAAAAAGAAAAGTGGAAAGCTGTAACGGTGAAAACCGCTTATCTTGTCTGGTTCGGATGCATACAAATGTACAGAGATTCGGATTAGAAAGTACAGTGGAAAAAGTTAGAAACCCGTGACGGAAAGGGCGATCTGCACGTGACCTTTTTTGGACGCAAACAAAGGGAAGAGCGAGAAAGTGAGAAGCGCAGGTGAACCGGTACCACGTGTTGTATGGCTGAAGAGGAAAATGGACACATTGGCTGAAGCCCTATGTCCCTCCCATGTCATTCTCTACCTAATCAATTTGTGGAAGCTATTAATTCTCTCTTCCAATTTTTCTTTCTTTTTTTTTTTTTAGGGTATTGCCACATTACTCCTTGTATCGTTGTTAGCTTACTAGTTTAGCCGCCTTAACTTCTCTTTGTGGCCATCGATCTATCTAAGTGTCTTTTACTGTATTTAAACATGTAATTAAATAATATATAGTATATCCACTTATCCAGAGCAAAGATTGGCCGAGTGATCTAAGCTACAATTTGTCCCCTAATATTATCAGCAATGGTAACACCATTTCCCCCTCTTTTTTTTTTTGTCAAAAAAAAGGACTTGGTCTCACTTCAGATCCCAACCCTTATTTGGGTTGTTGGGTTATTCCCCAATTTTGTTACAAGGGTCGAACTCTGATGGATGCCCTAACTAGGAACTACACCACCAGGTCAGCTACTTTGGAGGGACTAACACCGTTTCCTCCTTGCGGATTGATAAAACAATCCTACCACAATATATCCAAATACTATCAAAATTCTCTAAAATTAGAAAAAAATAAATAAAAAGGAAAAGACAAAAGTGCAGCATGTAACCGCATTTGGCGGATCGATTGGATTAGTGCTTATTAATAAAGTAACTCCATTTTGACAAAAAAAGATAGTAGTATTACAAGTGTAGTATTGCCAGCGTATGAATTGGTGGTGAAGTTCTTTCTAGTGGCTATTACACTGACGCATGTAGTTCTTTTGGAATGGTGCTTTTTGCTTGGATCATAGGAGGAAAATTTGTGAAATGAATCTTTCAATTAATTAAGAAAGAAAAGGATGAGCATCATCCTCAACCGACACTAGCCAAGTCTGGGCGTGAGAATTGAAGGAAAAAAGCCGTTTCAGGTCCTCCCTAAAGGCTGCCTGCAAAGCTCTACATCAGAATGGATAAGGGATAAGCCTCATTGCATTCCGACTCGCAGTTGAAAGATTTGCTTTTATTAGTAAATTAGTCACTCCCTAAAGAAACTGCCAAACTCTTGAGATTTTTTGTCACTGTAATGCGTACAGTCCAGAAACGTACGATGTAATTTTCGGCTCAGATAATTGGACCACTCAGACAGAAATCGACGGAACTTTCTGGAAATGAATAAAGAAGAAAAATTAGCATTTACAAACCTAACTAGATTGTTCTTACCATTATTACTGTTCCTGTAGAATGTCGCTTTGGAAAACAGGGCCTTGTTTGGCAAGCAAGTTTTTTGCCAAGTTTATTTGCTACAAGTTTTTTAACAACTTTAACTGCACTAATTTCAAAAAATTTCTCAAATTTTTTAAACCATACACTTCAAAATATTTAAAAATTTGCACAGTTTAAAAAAATTTTCTACGGCTTCTACAGTAAGTTATAGTAAAGTTTTAAACAAAAATCCAAAAAACTCATTTATCAAAAAGGGCCCAAATTAGCATGCTGCACAGGTTTGATATAATACTGTTATATTTGGCATTAAAACAAAATCTAGGCAATTTTCAATTGTTGGTGGAGAGAAGTATGACTAAAGAATCCAAAAACTTTCTTTCTTGTTATCACATCATAAAAAAACTAAAAAAAAAAACTATTTAGATTTCACCCTGTGTGCTTGCTTGATCATTTACTCGCGGAGAAGGCAAACTCTTGTTTTAAGGCCGTTTTCAAGTTAGGATTAGGGGAAAAAAATTGGGTTAAGAAACTCAAATAGTAATAGGTTATCTTTTTTCTTTTCAAAAAAAAAAGTAATAATAGGTTATTACTTATGAGTTATGACTGAGGGACGAGAACACGCAGTATTTATATCCCAGTAGGTAAACGGAAGTGGGTGCTAGTTAGTGCTTAGTAGAAGCTCCCTGTTCCCTCTCCCTGAGTCCCACATCGTCTGGTGAGGGTGTGAGTGTCTAGGATTTAAGTTCCATAAGCGTAGCCAGAAGTCAACAATTGCCTTTTGGTTGGGTTTGTGGGATTAGCTTAGGTCTTAGGAATTGATATTCTGCAAAAGTAGGTAAACGGAAGTGGGGCACTGCAATTTGCCTATGCATAATACCATTTATAAACAAAAGCAACTTTAAAGAGAGTTTTTGAGTAATGATTCCACAAAATTTACACGAAATTACCAAGAAATAATACAAAATCATTCGAGAAAGATAAATTTTGTTAATGTCTGTTTGGTCACTGTCAAGCCAGAAAGAATTTAATGTTCGGTCCAATATTCCATCAGAACAACAGTCGTCTTGCTGCTAATAGTTCTATTCTTGATAAAAACCAAGGAATCATCAAAGGCATATATTTTTAGCACGAATTTCACCCCAATAATTTTCCTTATGAAATTGATGATGATTGAAGGGATCTTATCATAAGCTCCCCCACAATCAGAACCAATTTTGGTACATTAGAAATCACAAATTCTTGGATTTGTGACAGAGCGCGAGCTAATTGTCTTAATCATGGATGAGGACATTTATGTGACGATTATCATGTCAAGATATACGATAAGTCAATTAGTTTTGCATAACTTCTTTTTGGGTTTTCTAGTTTTGTGAATATCAATATGCATTTGTATAGTATACTCTTTTCCTTAGTCTTCACGCAGCATCCGTAGACCATAATTGCATATTATTTTTCACTGCCTATTTTTTTTTTTTTTACTTACTCTTTTTTATCAACAACTAGTGTTCAAGACACACACCAACGTGTGTGCAACTAATAAGAAAATATATTGTTAAAATTTTGAGTGAATTTGTATCATTTTCAGAAGAATTGGTTTCATATTTTTGTCATTAGCTATTAAAAATATTCGCAAAAATAAAGTGGATAAATAGATAGTTATTTAGAAATAATTCATAACCACAATTGGCAATTGATTATATTAGGTGGTTAGTAAGGGTGGCAACAGGACGGGTGCCCACGGGGATAGAAATGGGGCAACATACACCTGCCCCATCTCCCACCCCGTCCCTCACATACCAAAAAAAATTATATATATGTATTTAAATTTATAGATGTATATACAATACATATATATACATAATATGATAATTTAGTTATAATTCAATTCTTTATATTTAATAATATAATTAATAACATAATTGTGAATACACAATTGTGAATTGGTCCCATTACATTTCAGTCTGATGATTTAATGTCATGTTCATGGCATTGACAGGTTGCTAATTTTCTTTAGTTATTAGTATTTGTAACTCGTTGAATGGTCTAAAATTGAGTACTTGAATATTTTTTTATTGAATATTTTGCGATAGAATAAATGATAAAATTGTCTTGTAGATAAGCAGATTGTTAATATATGGTAAGTTGATTTCTTCCCTCGCGGGAGAAAGGGGGTGGGGGATCCATTGCCACCCTTACACAGTTAGTGAGGGTAGTTTATAAAAGACATAAAGTGACAAAAATTTGTTTAAACCAAAAGCCCCTCCCCGTTTATATCATATATAGTAGAGATATCTTATAAATTAAAATTCAGTAAATTCCTGAGTTGCTGAATCTGCTTACTAGATCCATGCCCTTATGAAACTAAAAAAAGTCTGCCAAGAGAATACAGGAAAGTAGGAACCTTTGCAGAGCACAAGCACTTTTCCAAAGTTATGCATCATTATCAGTCATGACTAAACAAAGAGCACCCTAACAAAAGAGGTTCCTTTCCTTTACCTACAGTTTCTTGAAAGAGAGAATAATTAGGTACGAGGTACATTTGATATATCTTCTCCCTTGTTTTGACAGCGTAAATCTCAAGATTTCCACTACTAGTGCCCGCAGCTGCGTTAGTGGCATTTCATCCCCCTGCATCATTGTACGATGCATCAACTAAAGAAATTTGCTTTGATCTTTCATTTCTTGAAAGGAGAACGAGAGGAAAGGGCTCAGTCTGTCCGTCTCGGCCCGCATATCCTATATGCTCCATTGGCAGATGAGGAGAAAATCATCCAACCAAGGTCGTCCATCCAAAATGGGTATAAAATATCTTCCACTAAGCCGGGGTTGTCAAGGAAAAAAATATATATATACTTTAACAAATGTTTCGGTAACAGGAAAAGTGCAATTACTAGATATTTTGGTTTTGACAGAGTCAAGAAAGTAAATTATGAGTTCGTCCTTCTAGATGATTTAAAATGAGAAATTTACCAATATATTTTTCTTTACCGGTTTTTACTTTCTTCTTCGTTTGTCATTAACGTAATTACACAAGCACTTGCCATCATTATTCAAGCAATTTCAATAATAAATTATGCCACAAAAAACACTGCATTATGACAGGGATGTTTTAGTCATTATCGACTGGTATCTTTAACATTTTTTTATTATTAATTATTTCAAGTTAATGTTACCATTGGTCGAACTCTTTCAAATATTACACCAGAAAAAAAAACACGTAGTACAAAAATAAATATAAATAAAATAAAAGTATTGAAAGAGGGACGCCACTACTCTTAAGTAAATTTCTAAATGAGTATATGAAAACTAAATTGCCCAAGTTTACTAGGAAAAAAGCAGAAATACTTGCAAAATGAGGCCCATTGTTGTAACAATAATGTGATTGGATAAGTTGCACAGACATGAATCAAGAAAATACAAAGAAGGATTCATGTAAATCTTAATTAAAACTGTATCGCCCACTGGCCAACTTACACCTTATAATAACAATTAACGTTGTTTTCGTAGCTTATTTTGGCACTAGGTAATGGCCAGTTGTAAAATGCAATCATGTCGGTTAGGCCGAACCATAATTCCACTGCCCCAATATATTTTACCTACCGGAATTGAAATCCTCGATGACTGATTGAACAACTCCCCCGACGAGCAAAGTTTTGAACCCCACGAAAGAGAAAGAAAGAAAAAAAATAAAAATCCCAACTCCACAAGCAACAACTTCGGTCTTACTTTCTTGAACCACTTTTTGAGTTTTGCCAAGGAAGATGGTCAAGAATCACGGCAATGCACTTCACCTCCCCAACTGCTCCTTTTTTGTCCCACTAGGCGGAGGGCCGTCAAACAGAGAGACATTGGTACTGGAACAAATTGAAATCGCAACAAGAGGAGTCAACAATTAAAACAGGGAACACTTACATTTTGCTAGCCAATCCATAATAGCTCTAATCTTCTGGTATTAACTTCATCAAATGCGGCTTCTATAAGCCAAATCATACTTCTGAATAAGAACAGGAATTGGCAAAATAGTCATCACAATTTCAATTTGAGCCTTTGACAG